GAGTGCCTAGCAATGAAAAAAAAAAGCATCTGTACTGACGTTACTGCAAACCAATAAAATAAATAAACGTCACTCCTTTATTGCTTGCAAGAATCATTCGTAAAAGTAATCGCATGCGACTGGCCACGGCCGACTAGGCTTGGCGTGCGCTTGCGCACGTGCCGGACCCCGTGATTGAGGAGCAAATGGAACACTGTAGGAGAAAATTTGCTTTTTCGGTCTTTGCCGCGAGATGGCGCGCTGGTTAAAGTCTTCCAAAGGGAGAAAGTCGCTACGCCGAAAGAGGTCCGGTGCACGTTGCTTCATTGTCGCTCCTTTTTTAGGGTGAGTCTTCACCTTCGAAAGAAATCGGGGGACCCTTAAGGCCACGTTCACACTTAAGAGTTCAAGAAAAACACAAACGCCAGAGTGGCCGGGAAACCCCAAACGCGCGTGTCTAAGATATTTACAATAATAAAATCTCCACCGCCACTGCCGTCGATACCTTAAGAATTAATTCAATTTTGCCTGCTTTCAGAGAACTAAAGTACGTACCTCATTCTAGTACTTCACGCAAAGTAGGGAAAAGAAACAGCACGCACCTTTTAAAACGTTGCTTTGAGAGATAAGCCAGCAGAAACGACACAAGCGAAGCCTTCGGCAGGGGCGGCGGCGAATTCAGCTGGCTGTACACAAACGCGAGACACGTTGGGGCACGCCATTTTGCTGCCTCTGCACCGTCTACTTCCAGGGTTCTAGGCGATCGTAATCTAAGTCAGGCTCTCGATGAGCGTGACCTCGTTGAGGCCATCAAGCTTCGTCGTGCAGCGCGGGTAGTTTCCGATTTGAACTGATGGGAGCCACCGTCGAAGCCTCTGTCGCCATCTTGAATCTGCGGCCAGCTGGTTAGGTCACGTGGTTTGATCTAGCGCAGCCAAGGCTGTGAAGAGGAAACCGGATCCGGTTTTGCGTGGCGGGTAAACCACGCTCGGAACAATTTTTGCATGTCGGCCGCGCGGCGTTGTTTTCCGGTGGCTTGGGCGGCGAAACGAGACAGTTTCCGGTGAATTTCACCCGTTTCGCTCTCTTCGAGGCCAAGTGTCAGGGTTTGCTTGTGAACGAACATGTTGATCATCTCCTTGCGCTAAGCCCCGTAAAAAGCTCGTCAGCGGTCTCAAAGCTTCGTCTTCTGCACGATAGTGCGCGGTTCCACATTAGTGCCTTGGAAGGCCTTGGAGTTGCGTCCGACCAGTACGCCGTGGTCTTAAACCGTGTCCCGATGCGATGTCAGCCAGAGGATTTTGCCATTATGTACAGACAAAAATCCAAGGAATCAAACTGCGCCTCCAGCATCGCCGAAACCTCTGAAGACCGAACGCGGCTAGCCGTGGGGTTACTAACGTTTCTCCGCACTTAAGTGGAAATCCGGGAAGAAGGCTGGCTACAGTCTCAAGGTGCATCGCAAGATGAACCCAGGACCCAGTTATCTGAATTAGTGAATGCCATAGAACGCATACCATCAGTGTAAGCACTAACTGGATCTACATTGCCCGTTAGTCCACCATGCCCACTATGTCAAACAAGCGATCATGCTATCGCTGTCTGCAACGCCAACTTTTCAGCTGAAGAGAAGCGAGAAAGGTTGCAGTATGCCAGTTGTTGCTTTCGCTGCGGAACACGCCATCACATCGTCAGATTGTGCCTAAAATTTATCGGCCTCAAGTGTGGTAGCTGCCAGCGGAGCCACCTGGCGATTTTCTGCGAGTTATCCAAGCCATCGGGACATGCACGGCCACAGAATAAGTCACCCACGTCTCATAAAACCCCGTCAGGTGTCGTGCGAGCCGTCACGACCACCCAAGACAGTCACATTGAATCTGCTCCTGTATTATTGCAGACAGGCCGAATTTGCGCAGAGTTCGGAGACCAACGACTCCTTGTGCGATTACTGTTGGCTAACAGCAGTAAGCGGTCATACATTCGTGAAGACCTGTCAGAGACTCTTATGTGCTCCTTCGCGAGAAAAGAAGAGCTATCTCTCGTCCCTTTAGGGGACTCAAGGTCATTCATACAAACCTACACAGAGCGTGAGAACGTGCGACTGCGCAGCCAGTTCGACAACTCCGCAATAACCGTGGAAGCCTTAACAATTACGGAAATACGCACCGTCACAAGCCCACCGCTCGACCACAACATTTTGCATTGGCTCGACGAACGGTGGTACAACGCAGCTGACAGCCGTGAATCAAATGCATGGCAACCCGAAGAAATTAGTGTCCTCATCGAATCTGACGCTTATTGGCAAGTTGCCACTGGGAAAATCGATCGCATCAGCAGAGGTATAACTGCGATCGAAACTAATTTTGGATGGATGGTGCAAGGCCCTATGAAGTCCGACTTATGCTCCCCGTCTAGCGCACTGTTTGCCGTGAGTCACGGTTCTGCTACGAACATCGACGTATCGTCACTGTCATCTTTTAATGCTGTCGGAATCGATAAAATGCATTCTCGAACCTTTGAGAAGCACCACTTGCAATCTGCATTCGAGCAGGGAAATAAGTGGCATAAACTTCATGATGCCGTGGCCAGCGGCAGAACCATGCAACAATGTGAGATGCCAGGCCAGCGAGTCGACAGTCGTCATGAATGCACACGTTTTCGTCATCAATAGCACCATGGTGATAACGCCGACCGTGCGCGACTTGTTCCAGACCGGCCATGGTCGCGTCTTCGACATTCGTCACGTCGAGTACACCGCTCTCAAGTATGCCAGGATTACTATATGCCTTATAATGGTCGGTCTCGAGTACCTGAAGGTGTACGACAGCCGCAAATCAATGACCGCGATGCTCAGGCGCTTCCGGAAGCAAGGCGAGTGGTGTGTAAAAAATTACAATCTGTGCATCATATGCGAAAGCCCACTAAAGAGCGTTTCGGCTACAGACCACAGAAGGAACGCAAGGAGCGCAACAGTTCCTTCCAGGACGATGTCTACGATAAGGGCAATTTGGTGCAGGGCGATTCTCAGAATACTTGCCTCACTTTAACCATACGCCATCCGGTGGAAAAGACACATATATGGTTCGGCTGAAGGAACACCATGAGGCTTATCAGCCTAGCTCAAATAGAGTCACCGACAAACCGTATAAATCGTCCCACTAACACCAATCAGTTAGGCATTACAACACGAAGATGTCAGAACGGCGATACCGACAAGCTCAAGCACTTCGTACCGTCCCATTGCTTAACGATGGATCGAGACATCTCGCTACGACACCATATCTCCGCTTTGGGGCTTTCGAAAGAATATGTATCGCAACGCAAAGTTCGTCATCGCTAACACCTTGCAGTTGTCTTGCGGAAAACATGGCAGCGAGCCGCCCACCTATCTTTGTCAGGCCCTATTGCTACCGCGGAAGTTTCATTTTCGATGCCTCTGATTCATCTTTGGCTCCCTGAGAGTATCTTTCATGCAAAATGATAATGGGGGAACTTGGATCGTGCCGCACTCTATCGAAGAAGAGGAAGCAGAGGGTGAATCGGGACACGCGCACGCGGTCGGGGCCGTTTGCCGCTAGAATTGACCATTTGCGGGAAAACCACTGCGCATGAGCAGTAACCGCACATGTAGCGTTCCTGTACAGGCGTTTTGGTTTTGGTTGGAAAACATCAGCCTGGCGTTCCATCAATATGACCCATAGTAACGGCGAACACTGCCGTTTTCACGCAAACACCGTACCTCACAGACGGTGCACAAGCCGTCCTCACTGAACCTATAGTTATTCGACAGACATTTCAAGGTTCAACTTCAAGTGTATAACATAATGTTCTTCTTAAAAGAGCAGGCGTAATGAGTCTGGCGAACCGTCGAGGTAGCGGAGTGCAGGTATCACCTCACTTGGTTATTTCTCAGGCTGAAACGCGAGTAATTCTTGTTTTACACCGTGTATGCAAACGTCAACAGAATGTATTTCTCCTTTACCTTCTTGTTTCAGTAACGGGCATGCGTTTTTGGTCCTAAAGCAACAAAACAAGCGTTTTGTTTTCCAACCAAAAGCGAAGCTTTCCTGTTTACACGACAGGGGGCGCTCACTTTTCCGCAAATGGTCAATTGGCAATACATGGACGTCTCTCTTTCACGTCTGGGTGACGAGTCATTTCGCTACATTGTTGATTGTTCAATGTTGCTGCGCCGGAAACAGAAACAAGTTGATGTCCCTAGCGAAGCCCACCCGTTCACCTCTTCTTCAATAGAGTGCGGCACGCTCGAAGTTCCCCCATTATTATTTTGCAACAGTACATACGTTAATGAGAGCCCCACCTGCTGGTCCTTGAACATAAGGTTATTGATAAGTAATTCGTGTTAACAGGGTACTCCCATAAGTGTACTACCATGACCACTCCTTGTTCATTATCAGCGTGCACGTTTCACGTGACCGTCGCGACTTTATAATTCGTATATGTTTACAGGCCTTTATGGTGCACATTTTAAGACACACCTACAGCAACTGTATTTTGCACAGCCTACATCATATCATGGCGTCACATACATGATCTCTCCTGACTATAGGATATTCTGTTCATCAGTTTCCCTTTGATCATCTCATCACTGTTGTCATTTGGAACACTTTCAAAGCTTGAAAGAGGCCGATAAAGAGAGACGCAGCTGGCCGCCATTTAGACTATGACATATTTCCTTTTTTGCGAAACCCTATATGGTGAATTGTAATGTAGTCAATGAATTGGTGTGCCCCTGTGTTTCGGCCGCTTAGCTGGAGATTGCATTATTACTATATTTTACTTATTACCTGACTAACCATTGTTTTCATAATTTACAAACCGAATGTTCAGATGAGGGCATGTTGTACCTTCTAGAGTTTCCTTTAGGCTAGTGTTTTTGTGCCTGAATTTTCTTCACTCAAGTGAGGAAGCTGTACATAATGTACAACCTAGTAATAGTTGTTTACTACTACTACTTGTGAAATGTACCTCATATCTAATGCTTGAGCGATCTTTTTCAGGTTTTCTCAGAAGAAGAAAACAGAGATGCGGGCTACGCTTTTCAATAAAACTCAATGGCCTAAGATGAATATTTGGTACCCAGAACAAAAAGGTAAGAGAGGTAGAAGGGCTCTACCACGATTTCGCAATACTTGTGCTTTACGTCTTAGTGCAGAATACGGGAACACACTGTGCTATGGTTCTAAGACAGGCGGCCCAGGAATCTCTTCGTTAGCAACACTGCACTGACTAACATGCAAAGATATATACAATAAAATATGCCGAAGTGCAAGAGCAACCGTCACTAAACTGGTATGGAATCAGAGGCGGTAATGGAAAATTGCACGCTTGGTGCCTGCCAGCTGGAAGGTGTCTTTTGGCCCACTGTGATATTGTACTAGTTCAATTTATCATCACTACATTAACCACATACTACATCTTATTAGCTGTATTCCGTGTTATTTCATTTCATTTCATTTATTTACTCTCAAGGACGAAGCATTACAGAGAGGAGCGGGTATACATCGTACAGAAAATCAGGAAATACAGCAAATCAAAATTATATGCGCACAATGGCGGTCTGAAAACCACAAAAGAAAAGAAAGACTGCGTGATGTGAAGAAGAGGCAGGGTGGTTGTAACAACAATGTTCAACATGGTTGCGTCTTTGAATGACACGCGCACACAAAAAACTAACAAGAGAAAACACAGCGTGACTTAAGTGGCGAATTCACGCGAAATGGTTAGAGAGGGCGTTTTTAAACAAAGTGAGGTCAGTGATAGCAGCGACAGGGGAGGGGGAAGGTGGTTCCACTCATTTGCAGTTTTCGGGATGAATGATTCAAAATATAAATTCGTGCGGGCGCTAGGAACACCCACTTTAAACTGATGATCGTTGCGTGAGGAAACGTACGATGGGGGCTGGAAAAGAGTGTTGCTAAAAGACGGAATACAATGAAAGATCTTATGGAACAGGCAAAGGCGAGATATTTTACGCCGCAGTGAGAGAGTGGGTAAGTGAAGATTGGCTTTCATCGAGGTAACACTGGACGTGCGATGGTAGTTTGACATGACAAAATGTGCCGAGCGATTTTTAACCACCTCGATGCTGTCAGCGAGGTAATTGGTATGTGGATCCCAGACTGATGACGCGTACTCGAGTTTGGGTCGGACTAATGTTTGATAAAGCAGAAGTTTAAGGTTAGTCGGAGCCAAAGAAAAGTTTCTGCGCAGATAACCTAACGTGCGATTCGCATTGTTTGTAATATAATCGACATGCGTGTTCCAAGAGAGATTGTTAGAAATATATACTCCTAGGTACTTGTAGGACAAAACCAGATCGAGATTGCTGTGGTTAAGTGTGTAGTCGCACGGTACATTATGAGAAATACAACGGGAAATTCGCATAGCCTTGCATTTAGTAACGTTTAGCTTCATTAACCATGCGTCGCACCATGATGAAATGTGATCCAGGTCTGTTTGAAGGGCAAAATTATCTGCGTTAGTCCGGATTTCACGGTAAATTACACAGTCATCGGCAAATAGTTTGATGGATGATGAAATGTCTTTAGGTAAGTCGTTGATGTAGATAAGAAATAGTAGGGGACCAAGAACTGAACCTTGCGGAACGCCGGACGTTACAGGGATAGTCGGGGAACAATGGTCGTTAGCAGTTACAAACTGGGTGCGGTTAGATAAGAAACATTCAATCCACTTTAAGACGTTAGCATCAATATTTAGCGCGTTTAGTTTCAGAAGAAGAAACTTGTGGCAGACGGTATCAAAGGCTTTTGAGAAATCTATGAAGACACAATCAACAGTAGATGAACGATCAGCAGCAGAGAATAAATCGTTAGTGAAGGCCACAAGCTGTGTCTCACATGAATAATATTTCCTAAACCCGTGTTGGTGAATGCTAAAGAAGGCGTTACTTTCAAGATAACTCACGACGTCGGTGTAAATTACATGTTCGAGAAGTTTGCATGGTACACTGGTTAGTGAAATGGGGCGATAGTTCCCGGGACTATGAGCATTTCCCGATTTAAACAAGGGAGCCACCTTCCCCACCTTCCAGTCCTCTGGGAGAACACCTTCTTCTAATGACTGATCAAAAAGTCTCGACAGAATAATTGAGGAATGAACGTCAGTGTTTTTCAAAAATTTAGAAGAAATGCCATCGACGCCTGGTGACGACGAAATTTTTAAATTTTGGATCAACTTGCGTATGCCGGCCCGGTCAACGTGTACAGAATTCATCACAATGAAATCGCGAGCTTGAACACCTGGAAGGACGGCAGGAGTAGTGTTCGTAAAGAATGAAGAAAATGCATGGTTAAGGGTGATACAAACGTGCTCACTGGAAATTACTTCGTCCGTGTCAGTGGTAAGTTCAATATGTTTCCTATTGCCCCCATTAACGACCTGCGAAAATTTGTGGGGATTGTTTTGCAGAATTATTTCATTTATTTTATTTTTATTTATTACATACTGCGGACCACACTTCGGTCCAAGCAGGAGGGCATGGCGTAATACAAAGAGAAATACAATACACGCAAAACAAAAACAAAACAGTGCACAGTTACTCAGTATCGCAAGTACTAGATTCGATTGTCTGGTTCCAGTCTGAAATGGTGCGTGGAAAAAATGAAAATTTGAACGTGTCCGTTCTCGAGAAGTACGGAGTTAGTGCATTTGGTTGGTGATGTCTTGTCGGTCTTGTGTTTAATGGAGAAAGAAAAGGGGTTGGATCAAGGGAAAGTTGCGATTATATAAAAGAGACAGAAAATCAAGGCGGGACTTCTTTCTACGATCCTGAAGGGAAAGAATATTATTAGCTAGCATTAGGTCTGTGGGGGAGTCCGTTCGCAAAAACCTAGAATAAACAAACCGAATGGCCTTCCGCTGAATCCTTTCAAGTTTTTCAACGTTTTGTTTAGTATGGGGGTCCCACACGATACTCGCATACTCCAGCTTCGGCCTAACGAAAGTGAAATAACTAAGAAGCTTTACGTTTGGAGGGGACTTTCTGAGCTTATATCTTAGGAAGCATAATTTCCGAAAGGCAGACGAGCAAATATTAACTATGTACTTGTTCCATGATAAGTTGTTTGTTAGCGTAACGCCGACGTACTTATAACTGTCAACCTGTGTGAGAGAAGACGATCCTAATTTATACACGTGTTCACTATGGTTTTTCTTTCTCGTTACACAGAGATATACACTTTTTTCCAAATTTAATTCCATTCCCCATTCTACACACCACTCCCGCACGTTTTCGATGTTTTTCTCGAGTTCGTTCTGATCATTAGTACACGTGACTTCCCGAAACAAAACACAGTCGTCAGCGAACAATCGAATTTGAACAGTAGGGTCAACAACAGTTACTAAATCGTTAATATACAACAAAAAAAAGCAATGGTCACAAAACACTACCTTGTGGAACCCCTGAGGTGACAGGAAGACACCGAGATTCTTCTTTGTTAATTTTTAGAAGCTGTTGGCGGTTGGATAGGTAGGCTGCAATCCAGAAAACAAAAATATCCGGAATGTGAATGTTTTTAAGTTTTTTAACGGTAGCGTTTGCTGAAGAAAGGACTTTTTTGCCGCGGATAAAGCACGCCCGTATTCATCGGCTACCTTTTTGTAAACCTCCCATCTTTCAGATAAATTAGAACGCTTGGCCTGGCGGTAAACGCGCTTCTTTTTATTGGACAGGCGTTCCAATGTTGGCGTGAACCACGGTGATTTACTGTTACATGCGATTTCGCGTAGTGGTATGTACTTGTTAACGAGTTCGGCCACTTTATTTTTAAACAGCATCCAGTTATCGTTGACAGATGTTTGGTTGAAGTCTTCTAGAAAAACGGAGGTGAAATGTTCAAGTTCGGTAATAATGGTTCCATAATCAGCTCTACTGTAGTCCCTGAATCGCTTTTTACTTTTTTGTTTACGGGGCGATGCGCAGGGCAGGTTGAAAACGATTGCTTCGTGATCACTGAGGCCTGGCAAAACAGAAAGCGATTGCACGAGATCGGGGTGAGAAGTCAGAACTAAGTCTAAAGTTGAAGCACTTGAATGTGTAATGCGAGTTGGGCCCATAACCAGCTGCGTTAAATTGAATTGCGCGCATGTGTTAAGGAAGCAGGCGCTTTCAGGGGAGCCAGAGCCAGGCGATAAATGGGAGTTGTTCCACGAAATATCAGGAAAGTTAAAATCACCTAGGATTAAAATTGGTGTGGCAGGGAACCTCACGTGCAAGTCACTCAAGACGTCATGAAAATCATTGGAAAAACCAGATGGCGCATTCGGAGGGCGATAGCAGGCACAAACACTGACATCTTTGTGACTTATGCGGATTCGAACGCACACCAATTCAAGGGAACATACAATGGGAATTTTAAAAGACATGAATTCCTCTGAAACAGCGATCAAGACACCGCCACCAGAACGCGAGCCACGGTCACACCTAAAAAAGGAAAGTTTTTTGTCGCACTGCAGGATCTCACGGTTTTCAACTTTTGACGACAGCCAGGTTTCGGTCAAAACTATCACATCGGAAAGGCACGTGTTTACTAACGAAGACAAGGCATCACGCTTGTTGATAACACTTCTGATATTACAAAGCAAAAAAAACAACAGTCAGGGTTAGAGGTATTACAATTTGTGTTAGCATCTAGCTACAGTGGAGAAGATGAGCCTCTGATGACAGGATCATCGCGATTAGGAGGATTTGAGGGGTCAAGCGAGTCCGTTTTTATTTCGCACACGCAATCTGAAGATGCGCAGTAGGTGTATATTTTATTGCCAATGACCACTTTATTGTATTTAAGAGAAAATTTGTGACCAGTCGACTTGGCGAAGTCGATTAATTTTTTCCGGGTGGCGCGTGTAGCCTTGCCGAAATCCTCACAGATTGATGCATTTGTGTCACGAAACTTAGACTTCTGAGACAAAACACTATCTTTAGTTTTGGAAGAAGTGAAACGTGCTATCACGGGCCTAGTTTTATGCCACGAAAACGTTCCTAGCCTGTGAGCACGCACGATAGCATCGTCAGGTAGCTGCAAGTTTAATGTAGAGGTAAGAATCAATCGGACCTTTTTTTCAGAATCG